TAGGAAAACAATTTCTTTAAATCTCGCTGCCGAGTTATGATTTATAAATGGGCCGATTTCTACTCGAATCGTCCGTAGAAGAATTCTAATTATTGAATATTAATTTTGTAGAAAAAGTACGAAAAGATTGTCGGCGCTGTGGGAATTGGACCCACGCCTTCCGGCATTCGCGGCCGGATGCTCTAGCCACTAACCTAAACGGCTGATTTCCACACCGACGAAAATCTTAACGTATTTTATCTACATTGTTTTTTAACATTTGAAGCAATGTTTGGCGCATCCATTGTTATAACCTTTCCGGCATCGCTATAAAACCTCATTCAAATTTGTTTTCATGTTTTGAAAGGATGACTTCAGAATAAAATGCATTGCTAAAAATATTTTTTAACTAAACCTAGCGCTATATTTTTCTACATTTCAGATTTTTAGTATACCAAAGGTCGAGTAGCCAAAGAATTTAAAATAGAGTGTATGGTACCCACTGTATAATACGGCGGAGGTAGCATAATGGTTTGGGACTATATGACGGACTCTGGAGTTGGAGAAATGTTCGTATGTATAAGGACAGTATGGACTTAAAAGATACATAAATGTTCTCGAATCGGCGTTGATGCTTTCATTTTAAAAGTTATTTGGCGATATGAACACAGATGGTGCTAAATTCCAATGGAACAACGCGCCTTGCCATAAATCAGCCCGCTCCATGGCATGGTTCAGAGACAACTCTATTGAGCTTATAAAGTGCTCTGCCCAGTCTCCAGACCTGAATCCTATAGAATATTTATTGAGTTTATTAAAACATAAAGTCACGCAAGAGTGGAACGCAATGTGTCCTGTAAGACTGTGGAAAGCTTGTTGGCTCCGAGATTCTAATACCGAGTGATTAAGGCAAAGAGTGGATCTACAAAATTTTAATTTTATATGAATACTAGCTGTCCCAGCAAACGTTTTGCCATATAAATTATTTGTAGGATAGAAAAAAATGTTTGGGGTGGACCACCTTTAACATTACGGGGGATGATATAGAAAATAGGTGTTGTCCGATTCTCTATCCTGGCCGATATGCACACAAAATTTCACGAAAATCGGTCGAGCCGTTTTGGAGGAGTTCAATTACAAACACCGTGACACGAGAATTTTATATATTAGAAATAATGATGTGAACCTGTATTAAATTGTTTTTCGCGTTGTTATTTATAGGGAAGCTATATCTAGTGGACTACAGGACTCAAGATACAGAATTGCCATGTATAAATAATGATAATGTTTGAGTTTGACTATTCAGTATAACTATGGTATAACTAAGTTTTATTTAGGAACTTGTTCATACCAAAGAAGGTAAGGTTATAGCTAGATAATATAATGAGTATAAAATATATGTGATTTTTATTTTCAAAAGCTTCTTTATTCAATACAGGCTTAATTTAAGATCTATTCTTTTAGTGCTTTACTTTTTAGAATTATTGTAAAATATTAAAATATAGTACAATGCAAAAAATATATAAAGTAACACGAAATCCCAACTACCTACATCGGTTCGTTTATTTCAGACTGAATTTGAAAGTGCGGCCATTCCATTCGCAAATAGTTGCGTTCTATTGCTGGAATACTTGTTAATCATTTTGCCCACAATTGTGGGAGGGACACTTCTTGCTTTTGTTGCTGCGTCTGCAAACTGCGACGAATTTAAACAGAAGCAGCGTTCAAATATTTGCCGATTAGTAACATGTAAATTGTTCGTCGTAAAATATTCTTGCTTTATAAAATGACCCCTTTAAAACATAATATCCTGTTGTAAAGCTCCGTTTTAAACTATTAGAACATTTTATTTTTGTTTGGGCATAAAAAAGTTTCTTTGCATTTTGACGATCTTCGTATATATTTGTATGAATGTAAATATTGCCAAATTATGTTATGTATATAATATACAATATACATTATATTTGATGCTCCGGAATGGGGTATTTTTAGACATCTCTTGCGTTAAGCTCAATCTCTACTTGTTTTCTTTTGCTTCTACTTGATCTATCTTTAAGCTGTTTAGAAGAATGCTCGGTGTCTGGGCACACCCTTTTAATTTAGTTTATTCCACGAGCAAGCTGAGTGAAATTGTTAATTGCAATTTTAAGTAATTAATTATCACTGGCTAAACGGTGAAGGATAAAGTCCTGAGGAAATCTGCATATTTTCCAAATAATAACAAAAACAAAAATTCGAAAATATTTGTAAATAGACTGTCAATTCGCAATGGAGTCGCGTGATGGACTATGTCCTAGTATTCTGTGTACAATAAATATCTTTGCCAAGCAGATAAATATAATAATATAGCAGATAAATATAGAACACTACCATCAAATAAACCACTCCAAAGCTCCTCCTTTTCTGTAAAATAAATACAATTCTTAAACAAAATGCGTAAAAAGTTATTTTACAAAAATGTTATGTTACAAAAAAAGAACCGATTTCATAAAAAAATAACAATTTTGAATATACCCTATGTATAAAACTATTACTTCAAAAAAGTTTATAATAATACTAAATCTAATATAATCAAATCTTAAGAACCTAATATAACCTATATAAACTAACCTACCTAACCTCTAACAGAACTTAACAATTTCTGGAGTCGGTGCCAAGCTGTGGTACGGACTCAACTGTGGTAGGACCACGCGACCCCTCACAGAAGACGGGCGTTAAAGTAGAAGTTTTACACTTCTGCGTTTCGTCTGATCAGTCCTCACTCATCTGACGAAACGCAGAAGTGTACCTCTAGCCGGGGCCCACATTATTAAAAGTTGGCAACACATCTGCAACCAGCATTGCAAATGTCCGTGGGCGGTGGTTATCACTTAACATCAGGTGAACCGCTAGCTCGTTTGCCATTTTCTCACATTAAAAAAAGCCTAAATAGTGCATAAAATCATGCTCTTAACTTTGTTACACTATTTTTATGGATTGAATACATAATTAAATACACAGTACCTGGAGGAGTTTTTTTGTACATCGTGTATTTTGGAAATAAAAAAAATAAAAAATAAAGGAAACAATGATCTAGTATAGAAAAAAAAGTAAAAAAAATAAGTGTGTAAATGATCGTGATACGAACCGCGGCCTTCTGTTTTGGGGCCGCCCGATTACCGACCGAGCTATTATAACATTTTATTCCGGCGAAATTTACCGTCATATTCGAATGATATTTTTCATTCCCTGATGAAATTTCTTCATTCATTCTTCATTTCTTCCAAAAATGAAACCTAGCTAGATCGAAGAATTGCTCGTTTAAAGGATAAGATAACTAATCTTTTAACCTATTTATATATGTATATATATTAATAGTAAAAAAAGGAAAAAGAATGAAAATTTTAATTCATTGTTCTTAGCTTTTTCTATATTTTTCAGCATGGTGTTATGATATAAAACCATTACCCATTGTTAAAAATATAAATTGCGTATAGACTGTATACATCTGCTTAACTTTTTCAGAGTGTACAGAGATAATATGTTAATACGTGATTGCGCAAAACGATGCATATTTATGCGATATTATTATCGCGATTTATTTGCTGTAATTTTTTGAAGAGTTCCGTAGTCTATCTACGAAACTCATCAACAGATCTAAATGAAATTTAAATGGGACATTTTCGGAATAAAATCCTTTAAAAAAAAAAAGAATATTGCAAATCATAAGAATAACCGAATTCCGAACATACATAAAAAACATATAAACGTTCGAATTGATAACCTACTCCTTTTTGAAGTCGGTTATAAACATTGTATATTTTATATTCGTTTATTTGTGTAGGAAATAACTGTAAACAATGGCTGTACTTACAAATAAAATGTGGTTTAATCATCTGAACTAACTTACCAGAGGTTCAATTCGTATAGGAACGAATAGGCTCGTTCAGGAAAGTACCGTGGCTTCAATCCCTTAGTTACGCCTTCGGGTATTACCGCGTTGTAGATACTTAAACAAAAAAAAAAACGGCATGTATTTTTACTGTAGTTATTAATTTTCCGGTGATTAACAAATAATAGTTTTTTTCTTTATTGCAAATATTACATTATTAGTTGTTATTGGCTTCCCACAAGGTGGACGGACGACCTAGTAAAGATCGTTGGATGGAAGAGCAGGCCGTTACCGACCGGTCGAAGTGGAAGTTAATGGGGGAGAACTATGTCCAGCAGTGGACGTCCGACGGCTGATACGATGATGATGAACTATAAACTTTAATTTTAAAAAGGCTTTGAACTTTGGCTGAAAACCTTGTTGCCCAAGTCGAATATATATATAAATTAAAAAAAGTGCACTGCTTCATAATCCTGGTATTGTTCGGCTCCATAGCCAGTACCAAATAATCGATAATGAACTTTAAAAAGTAGTGGTGGTTAAAAAGTTTAACCACCACTGTAAAAAGTATCAATATTTGACGAGAAAAAGTTAATGTTCTTTCTTGCCTAAATCCTGAAATATATCTTGTAAAAATTGTTTGTTAATTAATCTTAAGCGTAATTAAATGAATGTTTTCAATGACATAATTATACTTTAGTAGAACTTTAGTTTAATTGAATTATTTTGTATGTGATCCTGTTGTTTAAAAGAGTAGACATAGCATCCAGTTATTAATTAAAAATATGGTTTCAAAATACCTAAGATAATCGTATACCTACATTGATTAAGAATATCCAATAAATGTATTTATTTTAGGTTCTTATACACTAATTTTGATATAACGATTAAGACACAGTTACGCTAATGATATGTGTTGAAATAATTTTACGAATTTAAGATTTAAAATTATTTTAATATTATTTTTTGATAACGATGTTGACCATAAATATAAATATCGATGTTTACATCCCTAGCATACAGTTCTCGCTTGACCTTTTTCTATGAATTTGAATGTCAAATGAAATAACTGGACATCCGACATCATATTGATTTTTTGATCTTCGTAATTCACTAGATTTTTATTAAAATCTAAACAGTAAATTATAAAATGTCGGCAAAATTGAACGAGGCCCAAGAACACTGCAAAGCAGCCGAAAAGTTGTGAGTATTATATATTGCATATCATGCAAGACAAAGACAATATTTAAATTTATCTCTGTAAATTCCTAAAGCAAGTGGAATTGCTATTTTAGCATTAGCAAGTGTTCACATCTTTATAATTTTATAATTTATCTTTATAATTTGGCCAATGAGTATATTTCATATTAAAAACATTAAAAGTATATCTTATGTAGTTTGTGAAGGGTTGTAGGATTCACATGTAGCCTTTTAGTATGGTTAAAATTGAAGTCATTAGAAATTCGATTGAACAATTTATAGGTAATTTGTTGTATGTCATTTTAATATTTGTAAAAGATACGTCACAGGCATTCCACACATATTTAGTAATGGACTCATGGAGCATTGAAGGAAGAATTTCTAAAAAATAAAAACCAGCTCAATCTGACCTGTGATTTATTTTTAGTATTTTTGAAAACACTTAAATTTAAAATTTAAAGTGTGATATATTTTTATAATAGCTATGGTATTTGCGAAAATACAAAATCATTAAATACATAACTAGCACATGCGAAATACTACAATTAGCTAATTGTACCGTAAATACAAGAGATCATTAAATATGACATTTATGTAACTAGCTCCTGCGAAATACTATAGAGCTAATTTTATAATTATTAAGGAAATTTTTAAAAAGTGGTAATTTTTCTTTGGCCTTCGGGTGCTTCAAGCTAGAATTGAAATTGAAGTGATTTAAATTACTTTCCTTTTTATTAATATAACTTTTAAACATGTAACATCTTTCATGCTTAAAACTGTTTAGTGCTCTGTAAGAATTTTATTTGCATGTTAGCCCATCAGTGGGATTATTACTTTATAGTACAATTCAGAGTTCATAGTTCTTGGCACCTTTATTCAGGAACTAATACATAGCTATTTGAATATTTTTCAAAATGTCTTTAAAACTAGATAAAATGTCATCCTTACTGAGTTAAATGATTGAATTATGCGTTGATATTACTTTATGTGTTTATATTACTTCTAATTATGTAGCTTTGCGAACTTCACTCATATAATTTGATATTGTACTTGAAATAATGAATGGTTTGTTATTTATTTCTCTTGCAATATGATATATTAAAAATAGAATTTGAAAAAGGAACTTAGGAACTTACTTATAATTTACTCTCATAATATATTATAACAAAATATGTTTTTTAAATTATATGAAATTTACTTTTACAAAAGGTAACACTGTTTATACTAGTGATCATACAAAAAATGAAAACTGTAAATGAGCAGTTATTACAGTCTAATCACAGTGTCCAAATAATGTAAGTAAATTTCTTATGTTTGTTTTAGTTTGAAGACATCTTTCTTACGGTGGAAACCTGATTATGATTCTGCAGCTGATGAGTACAATCAAGCTGGTAAAGACTCAATCTTCAATATTTTTTTCTTAAAAGCTTTACTATATATATAACACTAATGAGGTGTTTTCAATTCATCACTTTTTAGCACAATGTTACCGCATAGCCCGGGATTTGAAGAGCTCTAAGGAATGCTACATAAAAGCATCAGAAATGTATAAGAAAAATCATTCTTTTTTCCATGCTGGCAAGGCCCTTGAGAATGCCATTATTGTTAGCAAAGAAATATCCACCCCGGATGAGGTACAAACATTATGTTTCATATTACCAATTACAGTGGAATCCAAATAAAACGATGTTCAAGAGACCGGCGATATTACATTATAGTAACCACCCGACGCACAAAACGAACATGTATTCTTAGCTCTCTTAATTAATTAACCATATACATAATAGTTACATAGATTTATCATATATAAGTGAAACAATTCTGTATTAAAAATTATCAATAAATTTCTTTGATGGTACTATTTAAACATTGCCCTTAAGATACATACATAATTTACATTTAAAAGTTTCATATACTTACATTTTATGCAAGCATGTGCAATCGCTGATGTTACATTGCTGCATCCTTCAGAACTTCCAAACTACTACAAGTCGAATAAGTCTCCTCCGGTTCATCATCATTATCTTCGCTTTGGCAGTTGACGTTGATGGCGATGATATTTTGCATAGTAAATTTTAAACCATACACGACGCGTTGTTCTACTCAGACGATTTGTTGTGAATGAAGGTTACTATAAGCAGATGGTCCCTTAAACTGGAGTCATACTATATGTATATGATTTTTATAGTGCGTCTATATGAAACTGAACTTCAGTTTGATATTTCGTCGTTAAAAACGGTGAGCCGTTATAAACCAAATCTTTGTATCTGGATTCTACTGTATATTAAATGTGTTATTTTCAAAGAAATTTAAAAAATGTTTTTCCATTATTCTTCAGATATATACTTTGGCTCGTGATTCTAGCAGCCTTTATCAGCAACATGGTTCAGGAGACTCTGGTGCTAATGTGTTAGACAAGGCTGCAAAAATATTAGAAGAGAATTCACCGGAGAAAGCAGTCTTGTTATATCAGCAGGCTGCGGATGTGTCATGTGTTAGTACTTAATATGTCAATTTCTATAAGTAACTTTAAACACTGCTTGACTTATTGATTATTTTGTTTAATTCCAGACTGAAAGTAGCCAACATCAAGGGTCTGAATATATCAGCAAATCTTCTAGAATATTGGTGAAACTGCAGAGGTAAAATTCAACTGGAAGCTTTGTATTAGTAAATCAAAAGAAGTGAGAATGGCTGTATATGAATAGTAATTGTATAAAATCAAAAATATATTTATTCAAATAAGATGCTTGCGCGCTCTTATGAATTGTCAAATTTTACATCAAAAATGATGTATGTAGGTTCGGAACTCAACAGTTATTCTTTTTTAAAAGTATCAATGTACAATATAACATACAGGTATAATACTCTTAATATAGCTTATGTGAGTATTAAGAGTATTAACTCCACACATTGGCGTCGTCGAGATATTCCGCAATGGTATAATGTGCTTTAACCATAAGTTGACTTAATTTTACGTTTAAATTGGTCAAGCGGCGGACTTAATATCGACTGTGGGATTTTATTATACATGCGCATACTTTGCCCCATGAACGATATAAGTGTGTAAGGGCACAATTTGGTTTTTTAGTGTGGCTTGGCACAGGAGCACATCTTTCTTTTCTGCTGAAATTTCTTTGTGTCCCCCCCCCCCCCCCCCCCCCTTTTATGATATTCTCCTTTTAATTTTCCCAGACCTCACAATAATCCAAACCCTATGAAAATTTAAAGTTCTATATTAATTTATCAATCTGAATAACATCAGATTTCTATTCCCCCGCTTTCTTCTTTTTTACCTTTTACATTTCCCCGTTATTTTGTGCTATTGCTATTCAACTGGCAGATTCATCAAGTTGTCAAATTTCAAATTGGACCTTGGTTCTTGTAAACACAGAAACATAATCTGTGATTTTTTTAATTTTAGATATGATGAAGCATTAGACAGTCTTCGTCGGGAGATTGGTTTTCATCAGGAAGCTGGTAACATTGGAGCTGTAGGTCGCTTAACTGTCGCAATTGTTTTGGTTCAGTTGGCACGAGGAGATGCTGTTGCTGCTGAGAAAGCTTATAAAGTAAGCTTTTATTGTCATTTCTTCTGTGTTATCATATTTTGTAAGAATACCATAATTATGGTTGTGCTATAACCACATTTTTGTTACTCCACTCTTCTAAAGTGGTTATATACAAACTCACCAATTTTTTTCACAAGTGCATTTTGGTAAATGGTTAAGCAGGTCTGATAATAACTCAAGACAAAACTAACAGAGAATTTCTAATTCAAATATCTTTAATATAGAAGTATTACACTTGCTTATTGATTGTCAAAATACTACTAAAGGTATGTAAACTGTTGTAACTGTATATTATAGCTCAGTTGAAAAAGCCTGGACCCATCAATAAATTTTCATAGTCTGTTATTATTTAATCACTAATATCAATATCATCATAACCTTTAACACAAATATTCCTTTAATTTTTTTATGTATGTACACATTTTGCATTCTTGCTGGAATTTTTTTGTAAAACTTTTCATTGTCCCATAAAATATTTATTTATACTATGCATGTCTAGTTGTGGTTAGAAATTATTTACGTTTGTTCCTGTGAATAAATCTTATCCTTTAAACGAGCAATTCTTGTATATATATAATCGGAATCTCGGAAACGGCTCTAGCGATTTTCATGAAATTAAGTATGTGCATAGATTCGGGGGCGAAAAATCGATCTAGCTAGGTTTCAGTTTTAGAAAATGTCCTTTTATCCCTGTTTTCAGGGAATGAAATATATAATTCTAATATGACGGTAAATTTCGCCGCAAGAGAAAATGTCATAATAGCTCGGTCGGTAATCGGGCGGCCCCAAAGCAGCCGGCCGTGGTTCGCGTCACGATCATTTACACATTTATTTTTTTACTTTTTTTTCGATTCCAGATCATTGCTTTCTTTATTTTTAAATTTTTGTCGATTTGTTTATTTGGAATTTTTTTCCCCTTTTTTTAATTTATTTCTTTTGTGAAAAACATTAGTTCGTATTTTCTTATTATTACGTCGGTAAGATCGAAAAATATTATGCATATTTCATTACTCAGTAATTTGTATCTAAATGTAATTTCCAAAATACATGATTTACCAAAAAAAAAAAAAAACAAACCGAGCAAAGCTCGGTCCTCCGGGTACTTTTTATTACACAGTACACACAATAGTAATTACAAAGCATTTTATTGTTGGGCATATTTTTATCTCTTTAAACAAATTTCTTAGTGTTTTTTTGCATTTAATTTGTTGTATTTAATTTGTTTTTAAACTTTATTTAAATTTTAATTCAGAAAATGTGTATAAACATATTTGTGTATGAAGACAGTATGAGGTCTTATATCAGCTTTAGTTCTGCATGTTTAAATTTTGTTATCTCCGTTGTTTGTCAAGATAAAAAATGTGATGTTATTAATTATCCAGGAATGGGGAAGCAATTGTGAAGTACCCGAAATGCAAACCATTGAAATGCTACTGCAAGCTTTTGATGAAGAGGATAGGGAATCTGCAAAGAAAGCACTGGCTTCGCCATTCATACGCAGCATGGATGTTGAGTATGCTCGACTGGCATCTACAATACCACTGCCTGAAGGAATTGAGCCGCTACCAAAACCGACATTCCGGGAGAATGCTGCACCGTCTTATGTCAGTCCTAATGCTTCTTACATGCAGGTAATTATTTTCTAAATCATTTCTTCTTGTTAGTTCTTATGAAATAGTTATTTCAGTAAAAACAACACACCTCCAAAATACTATGAAATAAAAGTAATATTTAGTTTTCTCTGAGTTATTATTTGTTAACCATGCAAAAAGTGAATGCTAAATTTTGAACCAGATGAAGATGGGACTACTTTTATATTATATAATTTTTAGATGACTCCATAGCGCAGTTGCCACAGTATTGGCTTCGGCAAGGGGGGTTGAGGGTTCGATTCCCACATGGGACAACTATCTGTGTGAACCACGGATAGTTGCTTTGCATCTGGGTGTTTGTCCACTTGAAAATTATGTTTATTAAACATACTTAGAACACTGGATATTATTATCATAAAGTAAGGGCAATTTTTAAAAAAAAGAATAAGAATAATATGAATATTCTGTTGTTTTAGGACATAATATAGATTTTTGTTTCAAATCTTATTTTGTTTAATTGTTATTCATTAATTATTAATCTTCTACTTAGGTTATTGACTACATATTTTTTCTAATTTACAGCAACCACAAGATGAAAAAACTCCGGACAAGACTCTTGATGATAAGAAAACTGATGACGAAGATGGATTGTGTTAATAAACTTACTTTACTTGATCACTGTTTGAAGCATTGTGCTTGCATAGGCCAGTATTCTAATGATGATCATATTCTATGCTCTTACATTTGTAGTATCTTTTGTGTTGTATAACTACCTGGTAAATTAGCTTACATTAAACCTTTAATGTATTAGACATATTTAATTATACCTATTTAACAACAAAATGTCTCAGTTTAGTGTAAAAATTCTTATAAATTACAACCAATGTAACATTAATTGTGAATTATAATTCTAAAATTTACTGTGTACGTTATCTAGCTTAGCTACTATCTAAAACAATCTATATACTTGGTTGGCTCATCCCTCGTTTTTAGTTTTTTTTAAAAATAATATCTCAATTTCAATATACAAAATCTGATTATCAGATGGAATATTTGACATTGTGTCAAATATTATAAGTATAGATTTATTAATTGTAGAAACTCCTAAAGAGATATTTCAGTAGATATTCTTGACCGGTGTAAAACTTTTTTATACCTTTTTTGTTGTTATATAGCTCTAAATTATAATCTAGATTTATTTAAGCATTCCGTATTTGTTTCAAAGATTTAAATATAGTTATCTTACACTTGTTTATATGATAAGAAATATAAAGGTGTTATATAGTATTAACCAATTGCATAGTCATAGCATTCCCAATATTCATGAAAAATTGTTTCGAGTGACATTATTATCATTATATATTTAAGTTTCGCAATATAATTTTTGTTATTTTTTTAAATCTGATTCAAAAATGGTAATTTATTTATTTTTATTAATATTATAATAATTAAGTGATTATTTAAGTCCTGTAACTGAAGGCAATATAATAGTTTTAATACAATACATATTATTTTCTTAATTAAGAACTGATGCTTATTTCAAGAGCTGTGAATTGTCTAAGTTTATTACAATAAAAGAAACATTTAGTTATTAGAAATACATGTAGCATCCTACAAATGCGAAGTATCAGGTGAAATAGTACTTATTACTCCCAAAGATTGAATACCTTTAAGGGAACTAAAAATTAAAAAAAATTACTAACACTTGTATTATCAAAATAAAATCCAGTTACTTCAAGATAGTTTTGAAATGCTACTGTATTTACATAGGTTAACATATTTTGTACTGAGTTGGTAGATTATGTTGTAAGTAATTACACAACAATATTTCATTTTACAGTATTTTAAACATTTGCATTGATAAAACTTGCAGTTAATTTGTAGATAATGTAGTAATTTGTCTTTTTTAATTAATTAGATTTATTCAATGTTATATAAGTTGATGAGAAATAGTAGATGTCATGTTAGGCATTGAAACTGGAACTTGAATGTGGTTCATTTGTTATACCACTTTGTTTATTTGATATTGAGGTGCATTATAGCCTGAGAGTACTTAGGTGTTCATTTATCAGTGTTGCCAGATAATATATTTTTATATACTTAATTGTTAATGGAGTCAATTTATTTCTTATTATAAATATTTGCAAACATGCATGCCTAAGTGTGTTTAATTAAAAATAATTAATATTTGTTTTAATCAAACATTTAATTTGTAGCGTACTATTAAACTAGCATAGCTTGTTAAAATCTGGTTTAGACTTATAAGTTGAATTTGAAGTAATTAAAATAAAACATATCAATTAAATTGTTTAATTTTGGTTTAACTTAATTTTCGTAATTTAATAATTTTTTATATACTTTTAAACCTTGCTATGTTTAATGTTTAGTATTATTTTAGCTAAGCGTCTTTTCAAATGTGCTTGTATATTTTGTAGTTTAGCCAGATATTGTTTGAACTATTTAGCCAGTTTTATTGAATTTAAACACTTATATCACATTATAATATATATATCATGTGCAACTAGCTATATAATCACATTTAACAGTTTTTTTAAGAACAGGAAGTAGACTAAAAGTTTTCAGTGGACCTAGCGTTGTTGATGTTGATAAGCACTAAGGAAATACCATTTTCTTAATATTGCATGCAAGTCTTTTGTGCAAAGTACACAACTATTAAATAGAATATTTACATTTACTACAATGTATTGGATATGATTGTTTGAAATATTTTGTGATCTGTGTTGGCAGGGGTTGGTTGGGTGTTGCCCCATTACTGTTATTCCCTATGTTATGTGCAATTAATATTATTGTCAAGTTTTGGGCTTAATGTTTCATTGCTTCTATAATAAATGTGACATTTTTGTATTTTCTTGTGTTTAACTTTTTTACATAATTTTTTCTGGTACCCCATGAATTTATGTATGATAGGCACAGCATGAAAAGAAGAAAATGACTTTTATATATTTTTATTCTTCCTTAATTTCTATTAATATTAAAAAAAAAATGATTATGTTAATGTTTGAATACAATAACTATACAACCTGATAAATAATGGTCATTATAAAAATCAGTCATCTACTGTATATATTGTAAACTATATCCCTTTGTCTAAATAAAATTTTATTAAGCTCATGATAAATAGCATAATATCGGACACATGTATTTAATCATCCAATTCTTAAAATTTAATTACCTCTAAAATCATATTGTGAGAAAAACAATTACATAAAATATTAGGAATACATATTATAATAGTTTGAAATTTTTATGTACAAGGTACTTGCTATATATTGTTTGTTTGCAATTTAACAATTAAGAGATCTGAACACTAATTTGAATTAATTGAGGTGTTGCACAGAACCTTCTCAATATAAACTCCTACCAGCAGATTCTTTTTTACCAGCAGATCCAATAACTACACATAAATAGCATCTACAACAAATAAATCTAGATCAGTAGGGTATACATGACTATTTGTATAATTTGTGCCTCTTCAAAAAATCATATAAAACATTTAGTTTCATATAACTAATAATAAAGTCAGTAAGTATTTATTATCAGTTAAGGACCAACATAAACAATCGGCTTTAATTAGTAGCCATTCTCTGTAAATATAATATCCATTCATGTAAATACTGAATGCCATATTGCATTCTTGTTTCTTGTGCTATTAGTAACGAAACTGTCTTATAAACTTACAATTACATTTAGGACTGAATATTCTTATGACTAAACATAGTGTGAATATATGGTGGAACCATAGGCGGAACTGTTGATGTGGATTCTGTCACTGGCTCCTTTTCTTTATTGTTTTTTGTTTTCCTAAATTGAAATCCATTTTTGCGTAGTATTTTTCTCAGGGTCTCCCTAGAACCTTTGAAGTTGATCTCTTCCTTGAGAATTTGCAACAGTTTGTTAATGGTGGGCACTTCTTTCTTGAATGCATAGAATTCATGAATTTTTCTTCTAATCACTTGCAAATCATATTCATCTACTTCTATTTTTCCTTTGGTACGCACTCTTTTCTTTGGGGTTTTTTTTAGAGTTTCTGGATCAAGTAAGCCTTGTTCCACAAGCCTTGCCTCTTTCACAATATTTAGCACTGTGCGTTCTGAAACACCTGAAAAATAAAACTAAAGAAATGCAATATTCTAAAAATAAGGTGTACTACAATTATTAAATTAGCTCACATTACAAATACACATTAATTTGTACCATTAAGTACACATTAATGGTCACGGTCAGTGTCAAGTTATTGGGCCATCAATAAATATCAGTTTACTTAATTAAAATACAGATATCAGCTCTAGATTGTTTTCAGGTTATTCAACTTGTGTATGCATTAATGTTATCTTTAGATAGTAAAAAACAAAGTCACTTGTGCTGTTTGTATGCTAAGATCTTTTAAACTATGCAATGGACTTTAATGCAGTTTCCAGCAATATATATATATATATATATATATATAGTAATTAAAGAGGAATGTATATAATTATGTGGTATACATGCATCTTATAGTAGAGAAAAGCCAAGAAATTCAAAGATTTGTAATGCCTTTCCATGTCACAAACATATTTTCGTGACTTACATTGCAAACATTGGCTAAACCATATATTATGTTTATCCCTATATGTATATTTATATAAGTATATGTTTATCTCCTAAGGATAATCCACAGTAACCATTTTTATCTTTTATTTTACCCATACAAAACCAGATTGTGTTGCTAGTTTATTGTAAGATGGATTTGTAAGATACAAATTTCAAATGAGAATCCTATAAAAAATTGAAGCAAAATAATAACATAAAATATCAAACCTATAAATGAACATTTGACCCAGTCAATTGAAGTCTTTAGAAGGAACAGACAAAATGATTTAGAATTATGGAGAAAGAGAATACATATTGTTAGGAGGAGAGGCTTGTAATGCAACGCTGTGGCAACAAAAGAAAAAGTCTCTGAATGTAGGAATCAGTCAGTTGTAGTTATATAGGATGTTACAAATTTTATTTCTTTTTTACTTAATTAGTTTGTTTGAAAAATATTTTGTTTTAATTATGGATTTTTTAACGTTAATATTTTTTTATGATTATTGGCAAGTAGTGTTAGCCGTGTGTTCATTTATTGTCGCGATTGTAAAGACACGTTGTATGTGTCCTCAATATGAAATGTTATTTATTACATTATAAAATGTAGTTAATATGTAAAGAGCCTTAAAAATTTCACCAACCGGCAGGATGCACTATTTACGTCTGGTTTCTGAAACACTGATAATTGTAAAGTTAATCAATTCAGATTTTAACCATCTGTTTGGCAACTTAAATGATTTTGGAAAAGCCATTTAATTTAATAGCTGTTTAGTTAATTTCTATGATGATCACTGTTTCAGAAACCGGGCATTAGAATCCCATTATATAGTATTAAAAAGATAAATGGAATAAATAAAGCAGTCAAATATTATTATATTTAATGAGCTTTTTCAGTGTACTTTAGGGTGGATATTAAGGAATTTTGTATCGGTAAAAAATCATGTTCACTTTTTTTGAACTTTAGGAGACTCATGCTTAGATCATGCCTGCTAGCAGCTAATGTAAGATTACAAAAACTTCCAACAAAATACTTTGTTTAACAAATCATTTGACATAACATAATTTTTAGTACAAAATCACCAAAATTTACAGTCTTAACATAAGTTTTTATATTAGGTTTGTTTCAAGGACTTAAAAGAGTTTTTTAGTAGTCTATTTCTCCAACTTAGACATTTATATAGAGGAAAAAAAACTGCCAACAAAAATGTATTTCACCAGAAAAGTTATAAAGTTTTATAACTGAGTATCTGATACATAGTCAATATATTCTAAAAATTAATAATATACATATCACAGTTTTCAAAAGCCATTGGAATACATAAGGCATTTAATAAAATGAAATAATAATTTTAATACACCACTATCCAGCAGACTTCTTTAGTACAGGGGTCGTCATTAAGGAATATGTTGCAACAATATACTTTAAAGATGTATGTCAAGGAATTTAAAAGCTGTTAACACATTTGGTACCAGCCCACCAGAAGGACATAATACCCTCCGTATAGTGGACTATACAGAGGGTATTAGGGCATAGTTCACCATGCAGCCCCACTGCATATTGGTGGACTCTACATATATTCAAAATATGTTTTAATTATAATTTTGAAAATATGCAGGTTTTCTCAGTATGTTTTCACTCAACACTGAGGAAGTGATAGATCGGCCCTTAAAATTAACGATTTCATTGGTGCAGGCATGGGGGGCAAGTTGCTTCAGTACATTGAATTAAATGCGAGTACCTGGACAATGAACTATCAAGGCTCAATGTGAATGTATACAGCTAAAACAGATTTGCTATATAGCAGCAATGAAAAGTAAAAGTGGCTTACACCAAATTACAATTACCAAATATTTTAGCCAATGTTTAACCTAAATATTTGATTTCATGATTAAGATTGCAGTTTTGTAAATACAGTGTAAACTCCATGTAATGCCATTCAATTTAACTCCCTAAAGTTTTGAAATCACCTGGCTTTGGTTGATTTAGTCTTGCATACAATGATACACTTTATATAGCATTACACCCACTCTATATAACGACAACAATAAAGTAATAAAAAGTACCTGTGAAGTTGCCAAGATTTTTAAAAACTGAGCAGCTTACATGTATGTTTTTTGTCGCTTTATTATCAAAGCCCATAATAAACTTGATTGTCAGCCTCAAGCTTACCAAACTTTCTAAGAAATTCGTTCAGATGGATGAGCCTCCGCCGAGCATTGAAGACCCTCTGGAAGCAGCTAAATTATTGGAAAAGTACTTCCTAAATCTCCAAGACACCTCAATATGCAAGATATGAATACAATAAACAAAAAAAATACAACAAAATTACTGGTGCAGCAAAAGGCGTCAATAAGACAGCAATAGTGTTTAAATAAGATTGTTTTAATGTATATAACTACTAAATCTAGTCTGAAATAAACTTTTTCTGATTTTTCTTCTCTCCATTTAACGACAGCTGTCTATAACGCCATAAAATGCATACTCGCTTCAGTGATGTTACATGGAGTTTACACTGTATATAATTTAAGAAAGAAATATTTACATACATGCACATGCTTCATAAGTTTAATTTGTTTTGTTATTTTTAATAAACACATAGCATTATGGAATAATATGTGCAATACCTGCTTTCCCACATACATTTGATTATCTGAATGCCTAACTTCAAGAATTTGCCTAGTTAATTGAGTTTTCAATGTAAATTAAATATTGCTTGTTGATAATCAGCACACATTGATGTTTTACGTATACATGTTATACATGCAATTTTATTTATTTAAAAATACATATGAATATAGCTTATAGAATAGATTGGACATTTTTAGTAGACGTTTTGTTCATATAAAACTTATTTTCAATGATCATTAACTGAAAGAACTCCCATTTAATGACGAAAATATTTGATTTAATGGTAAAAAAAAGTTTGCCGGCTTCTTTTTACTATTATTGTTCTAATTACGTCGCTCAAAGAAAAGGCCATAAACTTATTTTTTCATCGAATTAAGTTGTTAGTGTTATTAGATTTATATAACAAATGAATATTTAAGATATTATATTAATCATAAATTCAACAATTATTTATCATAGTTGTATACAAATGCTTAACCTGTGGCGGCAGATACCCTGACATAGACTTTACTCAGCGGAATTATTGGGACTTGCATTCGTTTTTCTTCATCCATAAACTCCTTGACCTTAAGAATTATTTCGCGAACCTCGCTAGTAATGTTTTTCGGCATAATGTATATGGAATATAAACGTTTTTATGATAAAAACACTCGCGCGACATTAATGGCCGACTTATTTGTCTTTTCCAAGAAAGAGTACCTAGAGCTATTTTTTGTATTGACCTGACAACAAGTGACAATAAATGCGACCATAAAGTCCATCCATAAAGAATTTTTACTTTTGGCAGGTATACATAAACAAAGGCTAATCCGTAGACGGAGAAAACAGTTCTTCTTCTTCCTTTACGGCAGTTGGCGGTCCTTAGGATATCGCCAATGAAATAATAAGGGTAAAGAAACGAATTTCTTCTGGTTGTTTATTTTTGCCTAGTTTTTATAATGAAATGATGAAGAAAATGATTCTATTAATATTTAATATGTATGTTTTTATATATAGAATATCAATTACTTAGAACAAATAAAATAAGATTGTAATTATTATGCTAAGTTCACAACATAATATTACAACTATTGATAAAATTACACAAGTTAAAAACAAATAAAGAATTTACATATGTTAAAATTTTTTTCATGTTAGATGACGATGGATGTTAGAAGGAAGATGATCATGGAAGGAACCTGGAATTCTGGGACAGTTGAAAAATATATGATCAGGTGAATCATCATCTAGGCCACATTCACAGGTGGAACTATCTTTTATTGTTAATTTGGCAAGATGAACATTAGTGCAGACATGCCCAAGTCTAAGTCTGCAGGCAATAGAGGTGGCATGCTTATTAGCTTTTGGAAAATTAAAGAACCATGGTTTGGTTGGAATGTTTTGTTGGATTGATGCGTAGTGTTTCCCTCTATAATAATAATAATAATAATAATAATGTCGGGGTGGCGGTCGTGGAACCAAGGAACCGCTTCTCATCGACGCGGTCATTGGCAAAATGGTTAAACGTAACCGTCGTAACTTCGCCGCCTGGATAGACTACAAAAAGGCATTCGACTCTGTGCCCCATACATGGCTAAAGAGGGTCCTCGAACTGTACAAAGTAGACTGTACAGTAAGAGACTTCCTCGAACACTGTATGGGGCAATGGAGTACGATCCTTTGTCATCTAGGCGAGCGGATGACGGCTGCGGAATACCGGATAAGGATACGACGGGGTATTTTCCAGGGCGACTGTTTGAGTCCAATATGGTTTTGCCTCTCCCTGAATCCTCTCAGCATGTTACTGGGGGCCTCGGGGGGAGGATTTCAGCTTCGGAGAGGAGGGTCAAAAGTGACCCACCTTTTCTACATGGATGACCTCAAATTATTCGCCTCCAATCGCTCCCATTTGATGGAATTGCTTAAAGTCACTTGTGATTTCAGCAATTCAATCAAAATGGAGCTCGGGACGGATAAGTGTGCGGTCCTTCATGTCGAAAGGGGTAAGGTCACTAATACGGAGGGCATAGACTTATCTATGCCCGTTAACATAAGGACCCTCTCTGAGGCTGAAACATACCGATACCTGGGTATGTCACAAAACATGTGTAGCGATGAGGCTGGTATGAAACAGTCAGTTCGTGATGTGTTTTTTGCACGCCTGACAAAGGTGTTTAACAGCCATTTGTCAGGCGTGAACAAGGCACGCGCATTTAACGGCTGGGTCATGCCAGTCCTCATGTATACCTTTGGCATACTCAGGTGGACTCAAACTGAGCTCAATGCCCTGGACCGAAAAGTCCGCACAACTATGACGTCCCACAGGATGCATCATCCGAGATCGTCAGTGATGAGGCTGTACCTGCCGCGGAAGCATGGCGGGAGGGGCTTTTTGAGCGCCCTTACCATGCACAATCGCGAGGTGTACAGCCTCCGCAACTACTTCCTGGCGAGATCGGATGAGTCAATCTACACGGACGTCATTAGTTGTGATAAAGGACTTACCCCTCTGTCCTTAGCCAACGAGCAATGGCAGGACCCGGGAGAGTACTGAGTGTTTCCGACCGGGAGGCCGTATGGAAGGAGAAAGAGCTCCACGGGAGGTTCTACAAGGCCCTACACGAGCCTTTCGTAGATACTACTGCCTCCCTCAACTGGCTACGTTTCGGTGACCTCTTTGGGGAAACCGAAGGTTTTGTCTGTGCGATACAGGATCAGGTTATTAAGACGAACAACTATCGGAAATACATCCTAAAGGATGGCACCGTCGACATGTGTCGAGCTTGTCGCCATCCCGGGGAGTCGCTTCGGCATGTTATTTCCGGTTGTTCCATGCTTTCTAACTCTGAGTTTCTGCATAGACACAACCTAGTAGCCAGAATCCTACACCACGAGCTCGCTCTGAAATACGGCCTCGTGGATCGGAAACTGCCGTACTATAAGTACTCTCCGGAGGCCGTGCTCGAAAATGACCGCGCCAGGCTCTATTGGGACCGGCCCATCATCACGGACAGGACGATTGTCGCGAACAAACCTGACATCATGGTGATGGACCGGGCACAGTCACGGGTATTTTTGGTCGACATTACCATTCCATATGACGAGAACCTCGTGAAAGCCGAAACAGATAAGAAGACAAAGTATCTGGATCTGGCTCACGAGGTGACCGACATGTGGGGTGGTGTGCCGGCCGAAATTATCCCGATAGTCGTGTCTGCGAATGGGTTAATCCCAGTCAGCCTCTCCAAACATCTGAGGCGACTGGGACTCCGGGACGGATCGCTCCAAGCTCAAATGCAGAAAGCGGTGCTCCTCGATACCGCCCGCATCGTCCGCCGGTTTCTCTCCCTATCGCCCTAACCCTCGGCCGTTTGGTCTCCCCTGCCGAGGGCTTCCGTCTGGTTGGGTCCTATTTATATATGTATTATATAAAATATTTTTATAAGTATGTTTATTTTTATCCATAATATTTATTTTATATATGCAATATGTATCTATATTTTTATTTATAAACCCAACCAGACGAGGAAACAAATGAATATCCCCCCATAATAATAATAAGTTTTTTGCACGCCTGACAAAGGTGTTTAACAGCCATTTGTCTGGCGTGAACAAGGCGCCTGCATTTAACAACTGGGTCATGCCAGTCCTCATGTATACCTTTGGCATACTCAGGTGGACTCAAACTGAGCTCAATGCCCTGGACCGAAAAGTCCGCACAACTATGACGTCCCACAGGATGCATCATCCGAGATCGTCAGTGATGAGGCTGTACCTGCCGCGGAAGCATGGCGGGAGGGGCTTTTTGAGCGCCCTTACCATGCACAATCGCGAGGTGTACAGCCTCCGCAACTACTTCCTGGCGAGATCGGATGAGTCAATCTACACGGACGTCATTAGTTGTGATAAAGGACTTACCCCTCTGTCCTTAGCCAACGAGCAATGGCAGGACCCGGGAGTACTGAGTGTTTCCGACCGGGAGGCCGTATGGAAGGAGAAAGAGCTCCACGGGAGGTTCTACAAGGCCCTACACGAGCCTTTCGTAGATACTACTGCCTCCCTCAACTGGCTACGTTTCGGTGACCTCTTTGGGGAAACCGAAGGTTTTGTCTGTGCGATACAGGATCAGGTTATTAAGACGAACAACTATCGGAAATACATCCTAAAGGATGGCACCGTCGACATGTGTCGAGCTTGTCGCCATCCCGGGGAGTCGCTTCGGCATGTTATTTCCGGTTGTTCCATGCTTTCTAACTCTGAGTTTCTGCATAGACACAACCTAGTAGCCAGAATCCTACACCACGAGCTCGCTCTGAAATACGGCCTCGTGGATCGGAAACTGCCGTACTATAAGTACTCTCCGGAGGCCGTGCTCGAAAATGACCGCGCCAGGCTCTATTGGGACCGGCCCATCATCACGGACAGGACGATTGTCGCGAACAAACCTGACATCATGGTGATGGACCGGGCACAGTCACGGGTATTTTTGGTCGACATTACCATTCCATATGACGAGAACCTCGTGAAAGCCGAAACAGATAAGAAGACAAAGTATCTGGATCTGGCTCACGAGGTGACCGACATGTGGGGTGGTGTGCCGGCCGAAATTATCCCGATAGTCGTGTCTGCGAATGGGTTAATCCCAGTCAGCCTCTCCAAACATCTGAGGCGACTGGGACTCCGGGACGGATCGCTCCAAGCTCAAATGCAGAAAGCGGTGCTCCTCGATACCGCCCGCATCGTCCGCCGGTTTCTCTCCCTATCGCCCTAACCCTCGGCCGTTTGGTCTCCCCTGCCGAGGGCTTCCGTCTGGTTGGGTCCTATTTATATATGTATTATATAAAATATTTTTTATAAGTATGTTTATTTTTATCCATAATATTTATTTTATATATGCAATATGTATCTATATTTTTATTTATAAACCCAACCAGACGAGGAAACAAATGAATATCCCCCCATAATAATAATAAGTTTTTTGCACGCCTGACAAAGGTGTTTAACAGCCATTTGTCTGGCGTGAACAAGGCGCCTGCATTTAACAACTGGGTCATGCCAGTCCTCATGTATACCTTTGGCATACTCAGGTGGACTCAAACTGAGCTCAATGCCCTGGACCGAAAAGTCCGCACAACTATGACGTCCCACAGGATGCATCATCCGAGATCGTCAGTGATGAGGCTGTACCTGCCGCGGAAGCATGGCGGGAGGGGCTTTTTGAGCGCCCTTACCATGCACAATCGCGAGGTGTACAGCCTCCGCAACTACTTCCTGGCGAGATCGGATGAGTCAATCTACACGGACGTCATTAGTTGTGATAAAGGACTTACCCCTCTGTCCTTAGCCAACGAGCAATGGCAGGACCCGGGAGTACTGAGTGTTTCCGACCGGGAGGCCGTATGGAAGGAGAAAGAGCTCCACGGGAGGTTCTATAAGGCTCTACACGAGCCTTTCGTAGATACTGTTGCCTCCCTTAACTGGCTATGTTTCGGTGACCTCTTTGGGGAAACCGAAGGTTTTGTCTGTGTGATACAGGATCAGGTTATTAAGACGAACA